CCCCCTAAATTTTAAGATTAAAAAATGCTTAAAATTTTTTATCTTCTGGACACAGGAAAAAAATTCTTCCTATTTAACTATTGAAATAATGATTAATTCCTGTATTCTTCTCATTTGACCACCAAGAACAAACACATTAACACTAAGAAATTTGGAGATTTCTTTTTGCTAGTGGTGTATTTTAAAGTGTTTTTACTCAGAGACAGAGCACATGCTTCACATATCTGAGGCTCTGGGTTTGACCCCTAGAAACTTTGCCCACCCACAACATGTTGTTTTAAAGATAGCACAAACATTTCTCATTTTTTTCCTTAGAATAGAAATTTGATGAAAAAAGGTATTGGCTTAAAAAATTCAATACTGAACTAGATTCAAACAAAGTACAAAAAAATTACAAAGGAAGAGTCTTTACAAATGAACAGTAAAATTCATTCTTTGTAGCAACTGCTTCCACTGTGTTCAGGAGAATTCCAAAGGTTTAATAAACTAAAAGACTTAAGTTCTCAAATGATAATTAGAATCTTTCAGTACCATTGCAAAATATTCAAGAACACTGAAAAATTTTTATTAGAAAGTTTTTCCAATGTTACAATGAATCACTACATTTATCAAAATGTTCTTTTAGCTTGTTCTAAAAGCAATCATACTTTAAAGGCTAACAAAAGTTTAACATAATATCAGAGACTATGTATGGAGTTAAGGGGAAAACGCATTAGTAACTAATAGTCTTACCAAGTTGAATTATCTCTAAAACTTTTATCATGTTTTTTCCAACAGAGTAAATATGGTTGTCATAAAAATCAGTTTTGGAATATTTTCATAAATACTAAACTACTCTTCTCAGTGCAAGTCATTATCTACACAGGACAAATCAATACCCACCCTCTTTTATTAATACATGAACAGGCAGACAGTATTTTAAATCTAGGGAAGTGACATGTATCAGTAAGATCTAAATATTCAATATAAAGGGGGGGGAGGGGGAGGGGGAGGGTTACTGGGATCATTAGTGGTGAATGGGCACTGGTGGAGAGATGGGTACTTGATCATTGTATAACTGAAACCCAAGCATAAAAATTTGTAAGTCTACAACTATAGTTCATGGTGTTTCACTAATAAAAATGAAAAAAAAAAAAAGAAAAAAAATAATAAAGCCTGAGGGGGGGAAATAACACCTACATAAAGGTAAAAAAGGTAAAGGCCCTCCCGTTGATTGTCGATTTGCTCGAGTGGGCCCAGTAACGTCTCCATTGGAGACTTTTGTTGTTACTGTGTCTGGCATATCGAATGCTCTCGGTAGCTTGCCAGGCTCTCCGAGAGGGGCGGAGGAATCGAACTTGGGTCGGCCATGTTGGCCGCTTGTAAGGCAAACGCCCTACCGCTGTGCTATCGCTCCAGCCCTACATAAAATCAACCATATTCTCTTTGTACCTGATTACTTCACAGTCCCCAATAGTTATTTACCAAATACTTATAACTAAAGTCAAAGAAAACATAAACTTCTCATACAAATCTCTACATTAAAATTCTGTTTTGTTTGGAGCCACACTGGCAGTGTTTACGACTTACTCCTGGGTCTGCACTCAGGGATCATTGCTTGCTGGCTGGGGGACCATATGGGGTGTTGGCGTCTGAACCTGGATGGGTCATGTGCAAGGCAAGCACCCTACACGCTGTACTATCTCTCTGGCCCCCCCAAATCTCTACATTTAAAACATCATATATAATTAATTATATTATAAATCACTGCACAGGCCTACTATGAATCTTGGATTCCAGATATACTTGTACATGGATCATAATCATTTCTCTTTTCTTTTTTGGGTTTTGGGCATACCCAATTGCACTCAAGGTTAACTCCTGAGGTAACTCTGGGGACCATATATGTAAGGGATTGAACTTGGGTCAGCAATTTTCAAGACAAGAACCTTACCCACAGTACTATCTCTTTGCGCCTAAATCAAGGGATCTTTGGGGGGGGGGGGGGAGCGGGGGTCAAACACGACACTGCTCAAGGGCTCTGCACTCAGGCTCTTACTCCAGGCGGTGCTCAGGGGACCCATAGGATGCTGGGGATCAGACCCAGATTGGTTTCCGGCAAAGAAGGACCCCACCCACTGTACTATCACTCCAGCCCAAGGAATTTTGTTAAGTTCTTGGTTACACTTTCTAAACCTTTTTTTTTGCATGATGATTCCTTACAGTATGTCCTCACTTTCTCTTTAAGCAGCTCATTTACTCAAACAAGAATTGTTTTGAGTAAAATGATATTCCAAAACCAATGTGAAAAGGCTTCATTTTAAAGAAAGGCAAAATTGACTTTAAATATCTTTTCTTTAAATGTTCATCACAGCTAATTCCTAAACTGAAATGCTAAACATTTTGTGACTAAGCAAGGTTCTAGAAAGCAAGACTAGAGTCAGGAATGAACAGAGTCCTACCCTCATGGTGCTTACAGTGAACGAAATTGTGCAAGAAGCCAGGCAGTGATTAGGGGCCTCCAAAGAATATATCCTGTCCTTTACAATTTAGTGAAATAGAAAACAAAAATACATGTAATTATGACAGAGGGTAGGAAGTGCTATGTGTCATAGAAGAGAGATAACTTTCATGAGGGGGAGGGAGAAGAAGGCAAAAGACAAAGCAATCATTTTCACTAGCGCTACTATAATTTAAAAATAGGACAGCTTATACTGTGCTGGATCTTTAGTTGTTTTTCAATTGTATTCTTATAACTGGCACATTAAAACCAAACTGGCTACAAGTATTTCAAGTATTTACATCAGGGCTTCTCCAAATGAAGCAGATCACAATTTATTGTGAATACGAAGACAATGCAAAGGAGACCCTTTATATAATGCTGAGATTACAAGCACAGGCAAGGTTGAACCCAAATAAGTCTATTATTTTGGATTCTGTATCCCTAAATGAAGTTCTTTAACCTCCTCTCAACTTCCCCTTTTTAAAACATAGCAATGGTACTACCCCAGAGGTTCTCCTTTGCTATTTGCAGAACCCACCTCATTCTGAGTATTAATTTTAACTCACGACAAAAAATGTCTGACTTCTTTCTCAGGGGTTTCTATTAAGGAGACAACTGGGCTAAAAGTCCACAGGACCACTAACCAGTTATCCTTTCTAAGCCTATTTGCTCCTCCATAAAATGAGGGTGGGACCAAATCATCTAAAGAGTCCCTTCCGGCCTTAAAAAGTCCCATGACTCCATTATGACTCAAATACTACAGAAGAGACATCCAGCTTTGAGGAGTGGTTAGAAGCTTGAAGTTAAAGAAGTCTCCCTTCTAAAAAGTTACTTTTCGCCAACTGATTACATCTTAAACTCATCCCCCAAAGCCTCAAGAGCACAAAAGAGAGCGAAGGGGGGAGATCAAGAGTTAAAAATGAATTTACAACTTGAGTTTTCGCAAGTACTGAGTACTTGGCGAGGCTGCCAGCCTAACTACAAGGGAGGACCGATGAACTTTTTTAATATTAAAGATACAATCTTCGGTGTCAACTTTTCTACCCCACCAAAAAAAAAGTCACTTCTCTTCCCGCCACCTTAACACAGAATGGGCGACAGGGGGTGGGGTGGATGGGGAGGTCAGACAATGTTTTTCACCCTCCCCAACTCACGAAGAGGAGGGGGGTAGAAAGAAGGTCCAGCGGGCAGGGCGTTTTGCCTTGCATGACGCAGACCCGGGTTCGATCCCTGCCATCCCGTGTGGGTCCCCTGAGACCACCAAGAGGGATTGGAGCTCGGGTACTGGAATTAAGCCCTGAGCAATGCCGGGTGTGGCCCCCAAACAAAACAACATGAAAGTCACGGAGAGGGTCGGAAGGAAGCAGATCACCTTAAACTTAATATTTAAGTTGGATGAGCGCTTGTGCAAAAAGAAAGGAAGGAAGGAAAAGAAAACAACCCAACAATCAACCACAGGACGGGATTTTGGTTTCTTCACCCCGATCGAAGCAAAAAAAAAAAAAAAACCTCAAAAAATAAAAAGCCAAAAAGAAAAAAAAATCGGGGGTGGGGGTGCGGGTCTCCGGGTGCCGTTCGGCCCGGAACTCGGGGGGCGCTGACAGTTTTCAGACCAGAGACACATGGAGACGGCGCCGAGGCGACCAACTTCCCGGGCGTCCCCAAGCCGGCCGGGGCGGGGCGGGGGGGGGGGGGAGAGGCCCCTTTAACAGCGCGTTTCCCCCCCCCACACACACCCCACCCACCCCGCTCGGCGCCGGTGCGGTGCGGTGCGGTGCCGGGGTGGGTGGGGGCTCCCTCCGCAGCTCCCCTCTTACCCACTTCCCGCAACCAACGGGCGCAAACTCGCCCCGATTCCGGCAAACTTTTTCCCTGTCAGGCTCCGGCCCGCGGGGCGCCGGGGAGCGGCTGCCTCCCCCCCCGACACACACCCCCGCCCCGCGGAAACGCTGCTCCGCCCGGCCGGGCGCTCGGGGCCGGGGGAAGCCGGTGTCGGCCGACGACAACTTTCTGGTTTCCGCTCGAACTTCCACCCGCAGCCGGGGCGGGCGCGGCCCCCGGCCGGCCGGCGAGGGGCACCGGGGCGGGGCCCGCGCCTCCCGGGGGGTGAGGGGACGGACGGGCGGACGGGCGCGGCGGGCCGCGGCGGCCGCGGGCCGGAGGGCGCGGGCGGGTGTGTGTGTGTGGAGGGGGGGGGGGGGTCCTCGGGCTCTCACTTCCTCCGCCATATTTCAGACATTTGACCCCTTCCGCAAAGCGCGTCGCTCCCCCTGCTGAGGCTGAGGCTGAGGCGGCGGCGGCGGCTCGTCCGCGCCCGCCCGCCCGCCCGCCCGCTCGGGGCGCCTCGGCCTCGCCCCACCTGCCGCGCCCCGAGAGGCCGCCCTCGCCGGGGGCCCCCCGAGCCGGCCCGCGCCGCGCCCCACCCGCTCCCCGCGGCCGGCGCCCGGCCCCCGCCCTGCGCCGCCGCCGCCACCACCGCCGCCGCCGCCGCCGCCCCCCTCGGCAGCCACGCACGCACTCTGCGAACCTCTCACGCTGTCACCGGGTGCCCGCGGCCAGCGTCGCCCCGCGCCTCGCGCTGCCTCCGCGCCGCTGCTCCCGGCGCCACGGCGGTCCAGCCGCTGCTGCCGCCGCCGCCGCCGCCGCCACCGCCGCCGCTCGGGCTGGTTTACACGCCTGACTCTGGGCGAGGTTTGGCGGTGTCGCCTTGACGTCAGGCGTTCAGCCTCGCTCTCGCTTCCGTCCGCAGGCGGGGCGCGCGGGTGCGCGGCCCGGGAAGGGGCGGGGCCGCAGGGCGGGGCGGGGCGGGCGGGGGCGGGGCCGCGGGGCGGGGCGGAGCGGTGGGGGCGGGGCCGCGGGGAGTCGAGGGGCGGGGCCGTCCGCGCCGCGGCGCTTCCGCCTCTGCAGCCGTCACCGCCTCGGACGGTGGCTCCTCTGCTGACTGTCGTCTCGGGGCCGCCGCCTCCTGTCACCTTCCTTCCCGGCCGGGAGGGACGCGAAGGGTTTTTAAACCCGCCGAAATCCCCGATAGGTGCCGTGCATGGGAACTGTGCCCCGTTCGCCCCCCAGACTGTCGAAGTTCGCGCATTCCTTTGTGCCGGCAAAAAGTGACTGCAGAAAGTCATCGAGGCTTTTGCGGTCTCCACACCTAGAGGGGAGCCTAGGTCAGGACATAACAGACTCCTTTATCCTTGGAAGGGCTGAAAATGGCTTTTCTCCTGCATGCCCGAGTCACTTCTTCCTCCGTCCACCGTGTCTGAACTTTGGTGGAACCGTTGCAAATTTTCTTGCCCCAGACTCTTTAAATCGGTCATCCCAAATAACTGCATTCTGCGTAACCCGGCCCTGTGAATAGAATAGCCGGCGTGTTTAAATGCACGACTCGGGGCCCTTTAAAAGGTTACCCATAGGTAGGTTTATGATGTGATTGCTGGGCAACAGAAAGCGCTTTCTGTTCCAAAAAATGCCTTGATCCAAAAAGGGCGGGAACTTAGCAAGGGAATTTACTCGAGGAAAGCCTGAAAGTACAACGACTCTTACTACAAGACTTTGTCAGAGTTTTTTTAATCACCGGGATGTTGGTGGGCAAAGAGGATTCAGAGAGAGCCAAGTGCCAGAACTAGAAGGGGACTTGTGGGGAGAAGTGTCATTGAACATCTAGTTTTGCTGACTTCATTGTTCAACTGGGCCCTGTAAGAATTTAATTTCTGAAATAAATTTTCATTGAACTTTGATAAACTTGGAAGATAATTAATTTGGAAGAAATATTAATTCCCCCCTTTAAGAGTAATAGTAATTGCTAACTAATCTAAATGAATAAATAAGAATAAATTTTATCTTTTCAGTAGATTTTCGGTATATGCTTTCTAGGTGGTTTGCAATTTAAGTTGATTGTATGCATTTTAGTAATTTCTCTTTGGAAAAAAGTTTTTAAAATGAGAGTTTTAAGGCAAATTTCAGAACAATCTGTTAGAATTATAAATTTTGGAAGAATGAAATACTACTGGCTTTTCAATTATTGCATGAAACGGAGTCTAAAAGTCTGAGGTCATAGAAACAGATGTTGCCTGGTGTTTTTCTTTTCTTTTTTTTTTAACCTTTGGGTGATTGCTTTTTAAAAATCACAGCATTTTAGAACTCCTTGTGACAAATGCTAAGATTAGAACTAAGGCTATTTAGTTTGAGGGAATATGTGGAATAGTTTATTTTTTTTAAAAATGCATTTTTTCATTAGAAAATCATTGAGCCTGTATTAAACTATTAAAATATGCAAAGAGTGCTAGAATTTGCATCTTTCTGGGCATCGAACTTGTTTTTGAATTTGAGCCTTTTGTTCCTAGTTCCTTGAAATCTTCACCAGGATATTCCTCTCGCAGCTTGAATTGGTGATATGTTCAAACTGAGGCCATCATCTTTGTCACCAAACCAGTTTGTTCTTCTTTTCCTTTATTCATTGTATTGCCATCTTGTTTTTTTTTTTGTCGGGGGAGGAGGTTGGGGTTTGGTTTTTTTGGAGGGTCATAATTGGCAGTGCTCAGGGCTCAGTCTTCTGTGCTCAGGGACCACTTCTGGCAGGGCTCTGGGGACCATCTGGGATGCCTGTGATTGATCTCAGGTCAGCCACATGCAAAGCAAGTTCACTCTACCTGCTCTACTATCTCTTTATTTATTTATTTATTTATTTATTTATTTTTTGCTTTTGGGATCACACCCAGCGGTGCACAGGGGTTACTCCTGGTTCATGCACTCAGGAATTATTCCTGGCCATGCTCGAGGGACAATATGGGATGCTGGAAATCGAACCCGGGTCAGGCCATGTGCAAGGCAAAAGCCCTGCCTGCTGTGCTATCACTCCAGCCCCTCTACTATCTCTTTAGTCCTGTACTGCTACCTTTTAAATAACTATTTCTCTCTCCCCCCCCCCCCCCCCATTTGGTTATTTTGGCGGGGCGAGGGGCACATCAGTGGTGCTTACTCCTGGCTCTTCAGTTACTCCAGTCTTTTTTTGAGTCATCTGTCAATTTGAACATCGAGATAGTAATTCTTTTTACTAGTACCATACTTGTGAAGGTTGGCACTATTACTTCTAAACTCCTGGGTTTTAGTGAACCTTTCCCAACTTGCCCTGTGACTTCTGGTCTGTTCTTGCTGAGATTCATTCATAGGAGACAGGGACAGTTTGGACCACAAGGGGCTATGCTCAGGGTCTACTTCTGGGTTTGTGCTCTGCCATAACTACTGGCAGTGCTTGAGGGACCACATATTGTGTCCAGGATCCAACCAGGGTGAACAGACATGTAAGGAAAACACCTTACTTGCTGTACCATCTCTCAGGCCCTTACTGAGATTCATTCTTCACATTGTTGCCAGATTATCTTCAAAAATAATGAGCAACTCATTCTTTCTTCCTCAGAGCCTTGAGTTACTTTCCTGCCCTAACATCTTGTGTCTTCTCTTGAACCTGCCTAACTTGTATCTTACCCAAATACAATGTGTTCCCTTGTCTCTACTGTGCAAAGGTTATTGTCTATGCCCAAAAGACACCCACCCCAGCCCCATTCAAGGCTCTTTTACTTTCTCTATGAAAGAATTTAGCTTTTCTGATATTTCTAACTCAATGTGATTTATTCGCTTCAAATTCTCACTCTATTGCTTCTTTTTTTTTGTCACTTATTTTCTATCTTCCTTCCAGAATAGAAGTTTGTAAATATTTTCTATAAAGTATCAGTAAATTTTGAAGACTTTGTGAAATAAATAGTTTTTGTTTCAGCTCTATCTTTGTAGTGCAAAAATACTCAAAGGATGAGTGGACTGTATTCTAATAAAAATTTATTTATGCACACTACATGAATTTTTATTATACTATGATTTATTTTTTAACCATTAAAGATGAGAAAAATCATTCTTAGCTCATGGCTGTACAAATATCAGGCCTGCACTGAACTCTCAGGTCTGAACAAAGTGGTCAAACATCACAGGAATGGCCTCTGGCTCCTCTCAGTAATGCCAATGGTGGCCACTAGTTTTTGTGCTTGTGTGTGTGCTTAAGTAGTTAGCTGAATAGAATGCAAATTTTAATTCTGTCCACATAGTCATATTTTGCCTAATTATAATGGTCTTAAAACAAGCGGCATAATGCTGGCCGACTTTGACCGTGAGTGTGGAAAGGTAGGACTACAGCTGAATCTTACGAAGACAATGTTTATGAGAAACAGCCTCCTTCCTGATGCCCCATTTGCTCTCAATGGAACGACCATCTCCGAATGCAACAGCTATGTGTACCTAGGTCGAGAGGTCAACATGACAAATGACCTGGCACCCGAGCTGCGCAGGAGGAAGAGAGCGGCTTGGAACGCCTTCAAGAACGTCGAAGAAATAGCTAAGAGGACGAAGAACCTCCGGCTCCGGGCACATCTCTTTGATTCCACTGTTCTTCCTGCATTAACATATGCCTCAGAGACCTGGGCCCTAGGCAAACAAGATGAGAACGCTATTCAGGTCTCCCAAAGAAGAATAGAAAGAGCTATGCTTGGAATATCACGTTTCACTCAGATGAGAGAAAGAATCCGGAGTTCTGACATTCATCAACGATCAAGAATCAGGGACGCTGTCTCATTTGCCAAGGTGTCGAAAATCAGATGGGCTGGTCACGTAATGAGATTTAAAGACGACGACCGCTGGACTAGAGCTGTTACCAACTGGATTCCACGGGATGTCAAAAGACCGTGTGGCCGCCCACCTACCAGATGGTCAGACTTCTTCGTCAAGATCATGAACGATCGGTTTGAGGCCCTTCATGTTCCCGGAGCGAACAGATGCCATTGGGCTACACTAGCATGAGACAGGGACAAATGGAGATGTTACTGGCGCCCGCTCGAGCAAATCGACGACTAACAGGAAGTTAAGTGATTAAGTGATAATGGTCTTGGTCATTTGATTCCTTTTATCCTTAGCCTTCTCATCTATACAGTGGGTCATTAAAAGCTATCTCTTGGAATTTGGTAAATATTATTGAAATGTGTAATTTATATTCAGGTCTTGGGAATAACTAGAACTAGAAGCTAAAAATGGTCACTGTCACTGTCCTCCTGTTGTTCATTGATTTTCTCGAGCAGGCCCAGTAACATTGTGAGGCTTGTTAACTGTGTTTGGCGTATCAAATACGTCACAGGTAGCTTGCCAGGCTTTGCTGTGCGGGCAAGATACTCTCGGTAGCTTGCCAGATTCTCCTAGAGGGGTGGAGGAATCGAACCTGGGTTGGCCGGGTTGGCCCCGTGCAAGGCAGCCCTACCCACTGTACTATCGTTCCAGGTCTGATAATGCCTGAGTGGATGATAATTCTTGAGCATCCTCAAGTATCAAGTATTTGATTGGCAAACAACTCACATTCCAAAAGGCTTTTGAAGATTTTCTTTGAATTTACTTTTCCTTTATTCTTTTTTTTTTGGGCTATACCCAGCACTGCTTAGAAGTTAGTTCTGGCTCTGCACACAGGAATTACTCTTGGTTAGTGTTCAGGGGACCATATGGGACACCCGGGATGGAACCCAGGTTGACCTGTACAAGGAAAATGCCCTGCCAGCTGTACTATCACTCTGGCCCCTTCCTTTGAAAATTTCATGACAGGAGGCACTTTGTGAAGTTGTTTCTTCAAGTGATTGAATACAATTTTTTTCCTTTTTGTTTTTGGCCACACCCAGCAGTGCCCAGGGTTTACTCTAGGCTCTTGTGCTCAGGGATC